AACATGCTGAACTAATATTTCTCTCAAGTCTCAACATGTATTTGAAGTGTTCTATACATGTTTACATGTATTATATTTTAAGGACAAATTGAAAGAATAAAAAGAGTAAATTTTCTACATTAAATACGCAAATTAATTAAAATTTTTTGTTTACGTTTAAATTTTCGTGATGAAAAAAAATGAAATTGGAAACCAAAATTAACCACAAATGTTAACATCGTGTACTTAGGTTCTCATCCGATTACCTAGTTTTCAAAGAAGCAGAAATCAATGGTAAGATCGTCAACGAAGATGAATACGGATCTAACGTGGACATTGCATTTGACCTTTGTTGGATAACGTCTCTCATAAAGGAGCTTGGTGTCTCATTTACCACCATTCATCATGTGATATATTGTGAAAATGTTGGAGCCATATATCTATGCGCGTTAATCATGTTTTTTCTTTATTCATGTTTGAAACATGTGGCACTTGATTATCATTTTCTTCTAATAATGTTTTTCATTCATGGTTTCTTATTTGTTGCTCATGTTTCATCAAAAGATCAGTTAACAGATGTACTAGGTTTTTGGCATGTTATTCGCTACTCGTTTTGACAAAATTAGCTAATCTATGATCTATCTATCATTTATCTTGAAGAAGCATATAAAGTGTATAAGAAATAGCTAGTAAATATGTATAATTTACTTTTCTACTGGAACTAGATCTTTTACTTGTATATATATATCCCAAGTTGTGTTCATTGTGTATAAATATAGTTGTATCTCTATAATTAATCAACAAGAAATAATTTTTCTGCAAGAGATCACAAATGAAACTCTTAATCATTGGGAATCAGGACTTTAAGAGCCAAACAACAATAAATAAATAAATATTTGGAGTCTCATAATAGAAAGAGGTGCAAAGTCGAATATGTAAAACTGGTTTAAGCAAAGGCGTGACGCGGGGGAAGCTTCCCATGTGAATGTAAACTTTGGAGTATGTTATGCTGTCGCCGCGTGGCATACGTGGACTTGTCTGTACTGCGCTTATTTCTTTCAATACCCTATACTCTCTATAGAGCCCACACGTTTCTAATCATTTTTTTGCTTTCGGTTTACCACATAAATAAAAATCAAGTAAAATTTAAGCCTTTTCAACTAGTATTTTCTTAAAAGAACGTACTGAAAATAGTAAAATTATTTAAAATTTTGACTAATTCCAAATTATTTTTTCATAAATTTGGTGAAACAAGTCAAAATTGCGAATCTAGATAAAACTGTTTATTCTTATGATCCTCCTTTTATTTTGACCATTTTACGATTATGTGGTTTACATTAAAGAAATGGTTTAAACCGTTATCTACCAACCAGAACTTGCCCCATCATCTATATGATGATTCAAAACATTGCTCACAATTATCTTTAAATATGTTGATTTTGTTTCTAGGTTATATGTTACAATTTATGATAGATTTTTTCTTCTGGCTAATTTTCAAACAATTTTATGATAGTTGTACAACTTATATTGAAATTAAGAGAAGTAGTAAGAGTTAAATATACCAAATTTGATATAAAAATAAAAAAGTAATAATTGCGAATACACTGAATTTCTAAGCATTTTAATAAACTGATATACAACTCTTCGAACATTTGTTGTGGTTGACCCATTTTGACTAGAAAGCGTAAAGAGAATTCAAAAGATGGTATGAATGAATCATTAGCTCTATATTTTATAGTTTTCGACATTTTCATTATATCTAGATATACTTCCTAAGAAACATTGCCCATCCTCGATGGTTCCACGTCCATCCTCGTGCGCCAATTGGAACAGAAAGAATCGATAAATAAGTTAAAGTGAACTAGTATATATATGTTACAAAGACAATTAGGTTCTGAAAAAAATAAAAGCTTACTCTGGTTCGCATTAACTAGCTTATGTAGCCTCCCTAATACCATGAATCTTTTGTAATATTAAAATGTTACCAAACACTTAGAAAATAATAAACTCACAAACCAGAAGATTTGAGCGAAGATTTGAGATTGTACTTTATTCTAAACCAGAAGATTTTTACAAAGCAAACCGGTGTGGTAATGAGTTCTAAACCAGAACCCCACCGGTTTGCATATCTCTCCGTGTAAGGGTTTTGCGATTTGGATAGTGAGAGTGAGACTGAGATTGATAAAGAAGTCTTCTCAATCAGCTGAGACGATGCAGAGATCGATTTCGAATGTATGTTCATCGACGGCGAAGAGATTTGTTCGCCGGAATCTCCAGGGGAAAGGTAATCCTCCAACTGTACCTTCTTCCTCTAATCTTTGCGGGTTGTGTTGCTGGGGACGAGCTTTTTCTGGTGGCAGTGGTGATTACAGAGAGAAATTGAGTAGAAATGTGTTACAGGACATTAGGTTAGACGATGCAATTGTTTTGTTCAGTGACATGGTGAAATCTCGTCCCTTTCCTTCTATTATTGAGTTCAGTAAACTGTTGAGTTCCATTGCTAAGATGAAGAAGTTCGATGTTGTCATCTCTCTGGGCAGGCAGATGCAAAACTTGGGAATTTCACATAATCTATACACATTCAATATTTTGATTAACTGTTTCTGCCGACGCTCTCAACTCTCTCTTGCTTTAGCTCTTCTTGGCAAGATGCTGAAACTCGGCTATGAGCCCGATATTGTCACGTTTTCTTCGCTGCTCAATGGGTACTGTCACGGTAAGAGGATTTCAGATGCTGTAGCTCTGGTTGATCGGATGGTGGAAATGGGATGTCAACCTAATACCGTTACCTTTAACACTCTAATCCATGGACTTTTTCTTCACAACAGAGCTTCAGAGGCAGTGGCGTTAGTTGATCGAATGGTTGTAAAAGGCTGTCAACCAGATACCGTTACATTTACAACTTTGATTCATGGGCTTTTTCTCCACAACAAAGCTTCCGAAGCAGTGGCTTTAGTTGACCGAATGGTTGTGAAAGGGTGTCAACCAGATCTGGTTACTTATGGTGTGGTTGTAAATGGATTATGTAAGAGAGGTGATATTGATTTGGCTTTAAGTTTGCTCAAGAAGATGGAGAAAGGGAACATAGAGGCGGATGTTGTGATCTACAACACAGTCATTGATGGTCTTTGCAAATACAAACATGTGAATGATGCACTTGACCTATTCAATGAAATGGAGAACAAAGGCACTAGACCAGATGTTTATTCCTATAACTCCCTCATTAGCTGCCTTTGTAATTACGGAAGATGGAGCGATGCCTCTCGACTGCTGAGTGATATGATTGGGAGGGAAATCAATCCAAATGTAGTCACTTTCAGCGCATTGATCGATGCATTTGTGAAGGAGGGGAAGCTTGTAGAGGCTGAGAAATTGTACGAGGAGATGATCAAAAGGTCTATAGATCCTGATCCTTTCACTTACAATTCATTGATCAACGGGTTTTGTATGCACGATCTCCTAGACGAGGCCAAGCAGATGTTTGAGTTCATGGTTAGCAAGGATTGTCTCCCAGATGTAGTGACGTATAGTACTCTTATAAAGGGATTTTGTAAGGCTAAGAGAGTAGAAGAGGGTATGAAAGTCTTCCGTGAGATGTCTCAAAGAGGATTGGTTGGCAACACAGTCACCTACACCACTCTTATCTTAGGATTTTTTCAAGCAGGAGATTGTGATAATGCCCAAAAAATATTCAAACAGATGGAATCTGATGGTGTCCCTCCAGATATTATGACATACAACATTCTGTTAGATGGACTTTGTAATAGAGAAAGCATTGGTGGTATTCGAGTATATGCAAAAGAGTCAAATGGAACTTGATATATTCACATATAATATTATGATTGAAGGGATGTGCAAAGCTGGCAAGGTGGAAGATGGTAGGGATTTATTTTGTAGTCTCAGCCTTAAAGGAGTGAAGCCTGATGTTGTAACGTACAATACAATGATCACAGGATTTTGTAGGAAAGATTTAAAGGAGGAAGCAGATGCCTTGTTCAATAAAATGAAAGAAAACGGGCCTCGTCCCAATAGTGGTACGTATAATACGTTGATTAGGGCACGCCTTAGAGATGGTGACAAAGCGGCATCGGCTGAACTCATCAAAGAAATGAGGAATTGCGGGTTTGCTGGAGATGCTTCAACGATAAGTATGGTGATTAATATGTTGCATGATGGGAGATTGGAGAAAAGCTATCTGGACATGCTTTCTTGAAACAATCAATCCTCGAGAAACGAATTGCAGAGCAACCATCTTCCCTTGTGAATGCATTTGTGAGGTTAATCTACCTTTTTTAGATTGCTTTTCTTTGTTTACTTTTGGAGCCAGTTTTTGTTTTCATGTTAATTTTTTGTTGTTGTTGAGTATGAGTTTCATGGACATGACTGCTACTGCTCTTTGTTATGCTCCTATTAGGTTGACACGAGAAGATTTTCAAACTTCAAAAGTTGTTTCCATACTTGTACGAGAGACCCTTTTGGTTTGGTTTGAATTGAGGTAAATGCATGAATTGTCTGATAAATATAAATTTAGGACAACAAAAAAAAATTAGAAAATTTAAGTCACTTTTTATTAGAAAGTAGAAAGCTTGTTCGATTCATAGAAAAGTTATCGCTTTGTAAGCCTCACCAACGGAGTTCAATGTCTCGGCCTTTACCAAAAAAATGACAGATTTCAATTTTGGTTAGGAACATACAGAATTGTTAAATCAAGATAATCACACTTGTTAAATTAAAATTCAACCTACTCCGGTTGCATTCCTTATTCCTGTGCTAATTTTCAAACAATTTATCATAGTTAAATATACAACACAAAAAAACAACCTACTCCGCTCGCATTAACAAGCCTATGTACACTACATGTCTTTAATACCATATATGTCTGCAAACTTAAACAGGTTAGTTAAGCAAATGCAAGTAGATTATATAACAAAGTGCCAATTTAAAAATAAAAAAAAAAAGCAAACCCACACATATAGACAACGAAATCAACAAACCAGATAATACCGAATATTTTTGGGCATAATAAGAGTACCAATCCTTGTAAAACAATCGCATAACCAACGAAGATAGCTGAAAAATATTAAAGTTCTGCACATCTAAACCGAGTTAAAACAACACTTTCACACAGAAAATGAAGATAGCGGTTAAGATTCTCAATGTTGGGGATAACCAGGAGGAGGGTAAGATGCAGGAGGATAGCCTTGAGCAGGCGGTGGATAGGACTGAGGGTATCCAGCTGGAGGGACAGGTTGATCAAAACGGGACATCTGCTGAGCTGGTGGCACGCCCATTGGTTGAGATCCAAACACTCCATCTCTTTTGTCCATCTCAAGCTTGTGTTGTGTCTGCAAGCAGAAAATTGGATTTTGGATTTTACTCAAAAAAAAAAAGAGAAGATAGTTTCAGAAGCTCAGATAAGTTTCTAATTCTCGCTTTCTGGTACCTGCATACACGCACAAACCCTGCAAAGAAATCAAGACCGCAAAGTATTAGCAATTCGTGAACATAAATAGATTATAGGGAGAAGCTAAAAATCACATAAAGTAAATCCATACGTGCAGTAGACCATATCAGCACAGCAAGAGAGTATCTGAGAAGCCTCAGAAAGTTCATCGCTACCAACAATGCAAGCAACTATAGAGAATATGCAAGCAACTTGGCTGAGGCAGAACATAAATCCCTGCAATCGCACAAGATGAGATTTGTTAGTTTCACCCAGATGTGCATTCTTTGTAAAACCGATAAAAGAGAGTATGAGAGTACAATTATGCAATTGTCGCATTGTGTAGTCTGGATGTTGAATTCATCCTGCAGAAGAAAGCGGGTAGAGGCCACGGAGTTTCCGAAGCAGAGGAAAACCTGAAAACACCAATTGCAAGTTGCTTCAAACCAAATGTCAATTCATAAGAATCATGAAGAGATCTATTGAATTATTGCAAGCTTCTCATACAAGCAGGTTTTACATGCCAAAATATCAAGAACATCCCACTCATCGGTAAAGTTCACAAAGCTAATGTGATATCCTGAGTCAAATAAGTCGAGCAACGGAGTTCAAATATAGAGCATACAGAGCACAAGAAGATAACTAGAAGAGGACTTTGACGGAATCACATTATATCAGATTCAAACAAACGTCCTAGAAACAAACACACAGCTGAACGAAAAAGAAAGATGAAGAAAACATCCAAACCATAAGCTGTTTCATGTTCACATCCCCATTTCATTTTGTTTATAACCCAAACAAGGCATGTAAAACTTAAAATTCCTTCCAACAAAAAAATCAAAGTCTTACCTCGGTGGCAAGGCAAAGTTGAGGACATTTGCTTTCTCCACATCTCCCACTACAAGGCATATAACCAGCACAGCAAGTATACCTGCACAAAACAAAAGGACGTGCAATAATATCTTAGCAAAGGAAAGAAATTAAAAAAACCTTAGACCAATCTCTACATAAGTTACGAAATAACATACCTTGACATGTCATTGTAAAGTGCTCTTCTCCGAAGCATATATGAAACACAAGGTCCACTACACTCAAAAATGTATAACAACATATCAAATATGTACCCAAAAGCACAAATACAGACTCAAATTGAATCAGTAGTTGTTGCTTGACTACTAATTGCAAAAACCCTAAAAGAATCTCATATACACCAAAACCCTAAAAACGTGTAGAACAGCAACAACTTACCACAGACACGAGATGCAGCAATCTGCAAAAAGAGTATAACAAACAAACCAAGAAAACCAAAATTAGTTCTCCAATTGAACAAACAATGAAGTTAGAGATATCAAAAAAGACTGAGATATACAGGGAGTGTCGGCGGTGACGGTGCCCATGAGATCGGAGTGCCATAAATTCCGGTAATCCTGACGGAGTTTCATCTTTTCCAGCTTAACTTGTGACCCCGCCATTGCTTTGGAAACTTCAAAGTTACCTTCACCACACAAAAAGAAGAAACGATTTCAGATTCGTGAAACCCTAAATCAATGACTTTTAAGTTCCCAAACGATTCAGATCTACTTCGCGAACAAACCTTTCAATTGAAGAAAGCAGAAACTGTAACTTCGATCGTCTCTCTCACTCGCTCTTTGCCTCTCTCTATCTCTTTATTTATCAAATCAGTTTCTTAGAAAATTCAGAACTTTGACTATTATTAATTTTTATTTAGGACCACTTTTGACCATTAAATATTTATTTTTTTTTCGAAAAATAATCAGTTGTCGGGGAATCTAAATACCTTCGAGGTTTTTGATTGGTTAAAAATATAACCTTGGTGAATGCCGAAATTATAGAATAATTAATTTTAAACTAGTACTTAGTGAAATCAATTTTAAATTAGATATTTCAATTCCATACACTTTAGAACGACTCTTCACCCTTAGACTATCTCCAATGTCCAACTCTATTTTTTCCTTTATTTTAGAGTTGACTCTATTTTAGAGGCATTTTGCTCCAATGTATGTCTCTAAAATAGAAAAAAAATATAGAGTAGTCTTTTTTTTTACTCTATATATAGAGTAATCTCTACATTTTTCCTCTATTTTAGAGCTAACTCTATTTTAAAGGCATACAATGGAGCAAAATCAACTGTATTTCCTCTAAAATATAGTCATCTCTAAAATAGAGGAAAAAATGAAGTTGGGCATTGGAGATGCTCTTAGGCATTTATCCTATACTCTTTGTGTTTTAATATTAGTGTCGTTTAAAAAAAAATTCGTACATATTAAAAAATATATAGTTTACTTTATATTAATATAGTATGTTATATAAATTAAATTAGTAAATGCATTAAAATAGTTGAAATAAAACTGAAATAAAACTGAAAATTTTATCAGACGAAAGAAGTAATAGTCATAATTGATTTATTTATCGAAACCATGCTAAATTAAAATTTTCAAGATTTCTATTGAAGAAGATTAGGATTTAGGTGCCATTTTTTCTGGCCAAAATGATTTAGGTGTCAATTAGATGGGTTTTAGAAGAGAAGACCTCTTATGCGGGACGACTTCAACTTGGCTTGGGTCTACACTAATGAAAATAAAGAGGTGATTTTAATGATAGTTGAAAACAATCCAAAGAAGAAAGTTTTTAATTTCTTCTTTTGCATTTGAAATTAAAAACCTTAATTTGGACCATGTCAAAGTTTCTAGATCATCAAATAATTGTAGTTGTTTTTGCTCTAACAGATTGTTTAGAACAATCATCAAACTGGTCACCTTGTTTAGAATAATCATTAAACTGATCATCTTATCCACATAACTAATTAGATAAGTTCACTGTTCTTAAGAAAAAATTAAATATCGAACTCTAATATTTTTTCGTCAAACTCCAACTTTAAATTTAAGGTCTATAATTAAGTCTTTAGCACGGATCTCCAGTTGTAATTTTTTTCTTTCTCATATCTATTTAACTTGCAATTTCATACAATGGTTGACAAAAATAGATTATTATTAATAACGATTTTTATCAGTTTACTAGTATTCTCTACCGTACTTCGTACGGAAAAATAAATTAATTAACACAATATTAAGTTGAATATGTAAATACAACTTTATCACAAATTTTGGATCGCAAATTTTTTATTATTATTATAAAGCATTTGCTTCTTGAGCAATATTGAAAATGAATATGATATAGCATTTATTTGGAAGACAATATTATTATTTAAAAGCTAAAATAAAATTAATTTTCTTATTTTTATTTAATAAATAAAAATTAAATTGAAATTGTAGTGAATTACACAAATATGTTTCTCACAAAAATGTCTTTTTAATAATAAGTATATGAAGGCCATGTTCGGCACGTAATCGCAGCAACTACTTTTAGCGACGGAAAATTAAACGTCAACAACAGCCAAAGAAACGGTGGAGAAAGAGTAAAGGTGTCGCAGCGACTACTTTTACAGGTGATGCCGGTGTCGCTAAAAAAAATGGCGACAGTTATTATAGTCGCTGCGACTACTTTCACGAGAATGATGAAGTTACTCTATACAGACTTCACATGCAAGTAAGTTAAAATTTTCTGTCGCTGATCACTAACTCAGCGATTGCAAAAAGAACAGGGCCGAAATACAAAAATATGTACATATTTATTATACAACTAGTTAAATGATAATGACTTAAATAGAAATTTTATTAGCTTTTTTTTATTAGCTTTAGGAAGAGTTAAATAGAAGTTTGGCTTGAAAAGTTACATTAGGACCCAAAACAAAAACAAAATATTCTAAAATGATACTCTTTATAAAATGGAGTATATTTTGTGTTAAATGATTATAATATGATTAGTAGTCCTCAAATTTGAAATATGAATCGCAAAAGATGAAATGTTGCTACCTTAATTTACAATTTATCTCAAGTATATTCCAGTTTATACTTCAATAAAAGTTTAGAAATAGGCTATGAAAGTCGTAGAGAAAAGAAAAGACTTACAATTTTAAAAAGATGTTGCAAAGACCGTAAAATATTTTGCAGCTTTTTACAGTCGCCAATCACCACATGTAAGTATGTAACTTTAACTTTTTCAAAGTCACATCCGTTACTTTGAGACCAAATTTCTCAACAGTTTTTTTTTTTTTTCAAACAAAAGTCTAGTGTCGTCAATGGCTCTACGAATCACCCTCTATATTCGATTTGTTTCTATTTCAATAGCAATAAAGACTATAAAAAGTTAACCAATTTGTCATGCAAAATACCCTAGTGGGTTTAGACTTTTAGTCTTTTAGATATAAAAACACCGGAAAGAATATTACTAAACTATAAATTAGTTGCAAGCAGGGACAGAAATGTATAAATTAAATGTATACGGAGCAATTCATAACATAAGTAAAATAAGAGGGCAAATTTGTTAAACCCACTTATTGTCTGCTATATAAACATAGCCCACCAGACCAAATAAACTGGACCTGTCATGTCTTGGTTCTGAAACAAGAAACTGTGAAGAAAAAGAGAGAAAAAAAAACACACACTTTTTTGGGGAAAAAGTCCAAATTTACATTAAGAAAAAAACTTTTTTCTTTTTACCATTTTTGGATTCTGGTGGCTTTCAAAAAAACAAAGATCACGAGTGTCACTTGTGTTTCTCTGTAACCGTTTCATTTGCTGAATTCAATTGCAGAGACAGAAGAAAAAAAGACAGAACATAACCCAAAAGATTCAATTGTTTTGCTCTCTTCTTCTTCTACTCCTTCATTGAGAATCTTCACAAACAGAAAAAAATGGATTCTGATCTTTATATCTTTGATGGGTCTTCTTCTTCTTCCTCAATTTGCCACAGTACTGATCCTGATATGTTTTCTTCAGACACAACAACAACAACAGATCTCTTCTGCAACAATCCTTACCTCAATCCTTTAATGGATGATCATCAATCTCTCAGTTTCTTTGAAAGTTTTACTCCAACGACTCATCATCTCCTCTCTTCTTCTCCACCAATCTCTCAGCTCCAAACCTTAACTCTCTCTCACACAAACAGTTTCCCCAATTTCTCCGGTTTCGAAAACTACGACGCCGTCAAAACAGAGCAGCTCTTGTTTAACTCTTCCTTTGATGCTCCAATCATGGAAGATTCCTCGATTTTCCAGAATCAGAATTTGTTAAACTCGCCGGAAGATTCCTTCTTCTCCGGTCACATGCGACGAGTTTATAGTACCGGAGATTTGCAGGTACTTTAGCTATATCATCCTCTGTTTTCCTCTGTAATTTTTAACATAAAACTAATTTTTGGAGTTTGTTTAGAATTTAGGAAGGGATTTTACGGGACAGAGATCATACTCGAGTCCTTTGGCGGCGGAGAGTACATCAACGACGCTGTTTTCCGGCGAAGAACAAAGCTTGAGGGTGGGGCGTTACAATTCCGAAGAACGTAAAGAGAAGATTTCTAAGTATAGAGCTAAACGAACACAGAGAAACTTCACCAAAACCATTAAGGTAGTATTAATTTTAATTAATAAATAACTAGGATTAACAATTTAAATTTCTAAATGAATTTAATTTCGTTTAAATTAGTTTATTTTTTCTCAACCAAATAAAAAAAAATCTAATTTTCTCTATATTAATAGGTCAAAATAAAAATTAAACCGGAAATAGGCCGAATTTAATGTTTTTTTCAAAGAAACTGAAATCTAAATTAGTACTATCAAACTATTTCAGAGACTTTCGAAATTAGCTTGAATTTTTGCTTGGTTATTTCCGGTTGCATTAAAAAAAAACACAAATTATATGCATTATGCATATATTCAATTGAATTAAAGAATTGTTTACAACTTTATATTTGAAATTTTGGTTTTTATTTGCACAATTCTAATTTATTTATTTATTTATTGAAATTGAACAAAAAATTGAAGTATGCATGCCGGAAAACGTTGGCGGACAACAGACCAAGAGTACGTGGCAGATTTGCAAGAAACGACGAAGTTTTTGAGAACCCCAAGATTGCTTCTTCCTTCACTAGACAAGAAAACGACGACGACCTTTGGGTAAGTAAATTACAAAACTTACTTTTTTCTTCCTTATATCTTACAAGTATAATAAATTGTAGTATTTAAATTGAGATTTAAGTAATTAACTGTTAATTATCTAATTATTTATTCATTTCTTAACATTGTGGCAGAATTTGGATGGGTTGCATGAGGAAGAAGAAGCTTGTGTGAACTTAGTGGAATGTCAGTCTCAGTCTCAGTCTCAGTCTCAGCCTCAGTTGCAAATGCAATACATGACGAATTCCTACTGGTGAAATTAAAGCCTCTGTTTGAGAAGGAAGAGATTAATATTTTTCCCATTTAGTTTTTAATATGCAGAAGAATCGAATCAAATCATATTATATTAGCAATGCATTGTAGTGTAATGGACTAATGGTTGGATTTACAATGAAGTTGATGAGTAATCATAAGTCGGATCTTTGCACTGTATACGTTTTAAATGACATAAAGAGATTAGTCAGAGAGATTTGGGTTAAGAGTCTATATTATTCTTATATACATCATATAAACAATAATCACGTATTCATGTCTCGAATATAGTACTGCACCTGAATCAATTATAATTAAGGTAAAAATTATGGATGTTTAGTTTTAAGAGAATAAAATTGTGATTTAATATATAAGGTACCTACTGACATTGTCATAGTGGTGGTGTACCTTTTACATGTGAATATGTAAATAAATAAATCGTTCTATAAATAATAATCACGGATGGAAAAATCTTTGACCCTCGAAGGAAGATTCTTTGGTATGATGTTAAATTTATATAAATTTGAATTAGTGGACTACTAAACATTGGTTATATGATGTTAGATTCATATTTTAATCAATAGTCCGAATCATTGATAGTAGTCAAAACAACCTTTTCTACTATATATCATGGAGGACCAAGATCCTCTCTTGTCATGTTTTGTTGGTATATGTGAATTATTATCGTTTAGAGAATCACATTTCAAATATATGTAGAATAACTTTGTAGTATATATATATATATATATATATATATATATATATATATATATATATCAATATGCTTAATTAATTGTTATTGCGATTGGATTATGAATTATTATCGATTGGATCGATCTAATCACCCGTTGTACTTGAAACAAGTTGTACACTAAAAATATGAAAGACGTTTGTTCAATGTAGCTACCAAATTATTACTTAAGGTTTTTTTTTTGGAAATATTAAAGAGCAATTAATTTAGGGTTAATCCCACTATATTCAATAGTACTGGAACTTTTTTAGCCCGTTATTCTGTAATATTAAAACACCATAAAACACTAGTGGAAACAAGTTGCAAAATTATCAACTTGCAAATTCTAGTTCTATAGTTTCTGCTTTCGAAACAATTGGTTACCTAAAAAGGAAAGATGATGCTTTCCTTCATGGAATATGTTCTCACGAACATCGAGATATTTTTTTCCTTTTGAACTAAATTTATGTTTGATTACGTAGAAAGGTAAGAATACACCAGCATTATTCTATGAATACGACGCATCCATGGATAAAACTTTATATTACATGTAAGTGGTCAAATTCGGATAGATTTTAGTTACATCTATATCAGTTTGGTTACTGGTTATCATAGAGTTTACATAAGTACGTAACGATCTTATACTTAAGATTAGATTTGAGTGTTGGTTGCTTGTTTCATGACATTTGATCACCACGAACTACTGTTGAGGAATGACTATAAATTCTGCGCGCGTATTTCATTATTCATGACTATAAGCATATATGAGTAGGGTATCAGTTATTATTTGATTTTAAAATTTTTTTTTGGTTGTGTTATTTTGTGTCCGGAATAAGCCGGATAAGCTACCAACCAAATAATTGTAATCAACTTGGATATATACTTATTCTCATTTAATACATTTATATTAAAAATTGTTCAAAAGCTTATATTTTGAAATGCCTTTTTTAAAGTAGATATATAATTTAAAAACGGCAAAAAAATTCTTTTAAGAAATTACACTCATTCACAAGAAAATGAAAAATGGAATCTCAAGTTGCGTATCAACTAGCATATCATATGTATGAATATTTTCACGTACTTGACTTCTCTTTTTTCCCCTTTGGTATATGTTTATCATCTCATATGATAACTTACATTTACGGTAGTAAAATTGCATTTGGTATTGTCCTCCACTCGAAGTGTCGTCCATTAAAGTCAACGATGAAAATAGAAAAGGTAATCAGAAAAAGGAGATGAGAAATAGTTAAAAAAATCGGCCGCCTTAATAAAAATTACAAATACAATGCATGGAGTGATAATTAAGCAGTTTGCAGTGCATCCATGCTAATTATGTGATGCGTTGACCTTTTATAATAAGCACGTGGTAATTTCTGGTCAATTTTTTTAGTTGCCTTTTGAACGTCGTCTTAGATGAACAAACAAAGATGTTGCCCGACGAAAAATGAAACAAGCAATATATGTTAAAAAAAAAAAAAACTCTCCTATTTTGAAGTGTCGTTAATGTTGCAATTATAATATTGTTTCGAGAATTTGTCAAACGTTTGCAATACTAGCTAGTAGCTACTATATTAAAACTTTGAATGATACATATATTACATCGGAACAAACACTATAAAATAGGTAAAACGAATACATTGTTTTAAGTTACTAGTAGTAACTTACTACTTACTAATTAAGATTCATGCAAAATAAACGTTGTAGCCTCTATAAAAAAATAAACGTAGCTAGTAGTTTACCAAATGGGTGATGACATAGAACATAGTGGTTTTGAGAGTGTATACTTAAGGTCTATAATCTATATATTAGGGATATTATAGTTCGACTTTATTTGGTAAAGATGATTAATACACTAAAAGTGGTATTATCAATATATAGTTGGTTTCGGACACCGGAAAAAAAAATGATTCAAAGATTCAAAATTTCTTACGATTTCTCAAAAAAAAACAAGTTTTCTCCTAATTAACATTATGATATCTCTGGCTCGTTTGTGAGAAATTTTTTTAGCACAGTGTGCAATCTAAATGAATAATCTCTAGATGAATAATTTCACAAAATGAGAAAATGCTATAAAAGAAGAAATTGAGAAGGTTTTGAAAGTGTTATATTTTTAAATTATTTTTTTGTTCTATGGTGGAGGCAAGAAAAATCATAAAACTAGCACTTCCAAGGCTAGAGGATTCTACCATTTTTATATCCATTTTCATTTATTAACCCAAAAATTGCGAGTGTCTGGGTGATGTCGAATCCAATAAGGCATTATCATAATAATAACCAACGAAACAAATAATAAAAAGATTAATGAGTACCAAACAAAGAGCCTTCAAGTTTCTAAAAGGCTTAAGTGTTGGGCAGCATGTTCAGCCTATATAAAATGTCATTATCCTAATACTTATTATATTCATTTTTCAGGTTTTTCCACTTTAACAAAGACAAATATGAACCGTTTTATTTATATATAAATATTGATAAGTTAAAAGGATTATTGTTGATTTTGCTATTTTATCACCCAAATCTTTTGGATTTGTCATTTTGCTTCAAATATTTTAGATTTGTTATTTTTGGTCACTTTAAAAAATTATATATCTGTAATTTTATTATTATTATAAAATACACACTTAACCATAAAAAAATAGAACAAAAAAAAACCCAAACATAATGTGTAAAATCTAAAATAATTAAGGTAAAATGGCAAAATCTATAAATATTACTAAAAAATCCTTCTCTGGTAATTGATTTTTTAAAAAACTATATATATATATATATATATGTCATGTTTTGCGATCTATCATTGATATTATCAAAAATAGGTTAAAATCTGATACAATCCAAGTATGTAAAAAAATACAGTTCTTGATATTTCTTTATGCGAGTTTATGTTTCTCAAATTTTACAGTATTAGATTATTTTCCTTATTCATCAATCTCACTTCTAATAAATAGACTTCTAGATTCCATCATCATCTGACACTTATTTATAGGTCCATTTTTTTTTTAAAAATGTCGAACCGTCAATTTGTCAATATTACCACAAATGATTAATATTCTCATGTGTTGCTCGTCACTGAAATAATTGTGATTTTAGTTAATTGGTTAGTTTTCTCGAGAAAGCAAGGAGACTATTCTCAGTTACTTTTGCTTTCTTTCTTGAGAAATTCCTAAAAATAGCCCTAAAACAAGTTTTATTGACAATAATAGCACACACTCCATAAACTTCCAAAAATAGCAATAGTTAACTTATTATTAGTGTTTTTGATCTAAAAATTTTATCACTAGTTTTTTTTCAATAATACCACAATTTTTATATAAAAGCTATTCAACAAAATAAATTAGAAATAAATTTAAAATATTATATTTGGGTTCTCTATTTCCAATTTAGGGTATATATTTCCACCATTTAAAAGAAATTTTGATTCATTTTAATATTAGTTTATGATATTATATTTGGGTTCCCTATTTCCAATTTAGGGTATATATTTCCACCATTTAAAAGAGATTTTTATTTTAATATTAGTTTGTGGTATTATATTTGGGTTCCCTATTTCCAAATTAGGGTATATATTTCCACTATTTAAAAACAATTTTGATTCAATTTAATATTAGATTAGTGTTTGCTCTCTTTTCTATTTTCTATCTTATATTTTCATTAAGTTAAATTGAAGTTTATGGTGCTATTTGTGGAACTTTTCAAATGAGGTGCTATTTTTGGAAAAAACAACTTTTTTGGGGCTATTTGTGTCAATCTCCCTTCTTTCTTCTTCATTTGATGCTCCTAAAAGCTGATATTTCTATTAATCATGTTATTCAAACCAAGGCAAAGCAAGGTTCTCTATAATAATCTTTATATGTCAGCTTACAAGAATAATACAATATCACATGAAGACATCTAAACAAAAGTTGTACCAAAATAAAGACATCTAGAGAAAATTTGGACATTTTCTTTATATCAAAAAATACAATCAATCGTTAAACTAATATAAGATATTAGTGACCAATCATGGTATTGTTTATTCACAAAGAATCGATACAGAATGGGGCTCGTGTCATATATGTACGATTTTTGGTTTAATTAACTATATCAAACTTTAACATATGTGTATATATACTTTATCGATCTCCTTGCATTGATTTTTTTCAAGTGTTTCGAAAGTTTCACATTTAAGCATATAGACATGTTTCCTAAAGCAGATGGTTCATGTAAGGATGCTCAATGTGTTGACCATTAATTAACCTTGTATACGTTTATTTTATTGAATGCTTAGACAATCGTTAAATCCACCGAAAACAAGGATAACCT